TCGAGACAGATGTTATCTTTTTACGAGTTAGGGTTGTCAGCCCTATGTCCAATGCTTGATCATGTGTGACCGGGACCTACGGTTTAAAGTAGATTCCGAACCACTACAAACATCCATGGCACCGCCGGGACTCGAATCCGAAACATGTGGCACCGAGCACAACAGCGTTAGTCACTCGGCCATTAGGCCCCCGCCCCCTAACAGTTTATTAAGGCACATATTTCTGATATCTGTAAGTCGCATATAACTGTTATAAAATATCCGTGGGCTGTACAAAAAGGATAGAATATATAAATAAAAATAAGTATAAAATATATAAATAAAATATATAATAAAACAAATATAAAATATATGAATAAAATATATAATAAAACAAATATATAATATAAAATATATATAATAAAATATATAAAAAAAAAATAAGTCAATGTATAATAGATAAGATTTAAAAAGTATTTTAGTATTTGGTTCTATTTTTATAGAAACCGAGCTTTAAACATGACAAATAAAATAGTTTCTATTCAACAATTTCTGTTCATCGATATTCATGAATAAAAATGTTAGTCATAGTTATAAATGCGTTGATTCAAGGTAATCCTATTAAAATACATAATAAATTCTTAAAAAAAAAAAACCAAAACATTTCCAATTGTCGGTTTGAAAGTCAACAGTCCCTTGTAATAAGGTAAGAAATAAATAAAAAAAAACAACAACAATGTAAATAGGACCCTGCATATAGATTAATGCATTATCGACAGAAGTTGTATCTTAGTTTACAATAAATTAGAAAACATTGAACATATTTTTTCTAATATTTAAATTACTTTAATGAAATAGAATCGGATCATATTCCATGTATAAATTTTTTATCAAAATCTGAAATTTAAAAAAAAAAAAAAATAAGGGATTTTATTTTTTAAAATTGACTTAGATAAGGCAGGTTTAAAGACCTGTTTATAAATCAGCCAGTTTATTTATATTAATTAATTTTTATATGCAGCTGTCTTACAAGAAGCATTTAATCTATGGACGAAACGTCTATAAGTTACAGGTTTATAGAAAAGGGCCTTGTTTTCACTTAGTTCTTAAAAAAAAAATGGTAGATTGTCTTTTGTGATAAATGTTGCGAGTTGTTTCTTAACGAATATCAGTTGACAACTAAACAAACATCTTCATCTGTTACACATCAACAAGTGATTGATCATGACTGCTTAATATCCAATTTCCGCGTTTTTAACTACGGCTATAAAACAACAACAACAACAAAAAACAAAAACCTTCTGTGGCATATGGTTCGCCATCAGGCTGTTGCGTGGTGTCTTTTTGGACTTTACTGAAGCGCAGCCCAACTGTAAAATTCCCCTTAAAAAACATTTCTAGGAAAACAATTCTTTCCCATTTTCAGTTCCTATTATTAGCTCACACTCTCCCTATATATATCTTGTTCAAATTTTCAATCGTTCATAAAATACTTTTTACTCATCCACTCAAGTTCATGTACATTTTTTTTGAACTTGTAGTGGATGACACTTGATGTTAATACAATTTTTTCAAATATTAATTCATTCATTAAATTTAATTAATTAATTTTACTTTCTTTTAGATTTAAATTGCATGTATCTAATAATAGATGGCGCCAGATGTAAGAGGAAAATCTGAACTTTATTTGTAAAGGACTTTTCTGCAATATAGTGAAAAAAAAGAGTGAATTGACTAAAAAATTTTTTTTATATATATTACTTGTTTTTGTTGCAGATGTATTGCATTGGTGACCTTCCAGGGGAGTAGTTTATGGTAGCATAGTAATTTGTAAGTGGCTTGAAAAATTGTTTGTTTAGTTAAATTATTCACGGTAAAAATTAGCATTAATATTATAATGGTTGTATAAAAAAAATATTTTTTAAAAATTTCTGAGAGGCATCTTTTATTTCTGAAGCGTTGATATTATTTTTCTGAATAGGTGTATGTTTTGTCAAATGCGAATGGCTGTCACGCTAGGAATAGTCAGTATTTTCATGTTTTGCCAAATGCGAATGGCTGTCGCTCTAGGAATAGTCGGTAATTTCATGTTTTGGCAAGTGCGAATGGCTGTCTCGCTAGGAATAGTCGGTAATTTCATATTTTGGCAAGTGCGAAGGGCTGTCACGCTAGGAATAGTCGGTAATTTCATATTTTGGCAAGTGCGAATGGCTGCCACGCTAGGAATAGTCGGTAATTTCATATTTTGGCAAGTGCGAATGGCTGTCACGCTAGGAATAGTCGGTAATTTCATATTTTGGCAAGTGCGAATGGATGTCACGCTAGGAATAGTCGGTAATTTCATATTTTGGCAAGTGCGAATCGCTGTCACGCTAGGAATAGTCGGTAATTTCATATTTTGGCAAGTGCGAATGGCTGTCACGCTAGGAATAGTCGGTAATTTCATATTTTGGCAAGTGCGAATGGCTGTCACGCTAGGAATAGTCGGTAATTTCATATTTTGGCAAGTGCGAATGGCTGTCACGCTAGGAATAGTCGGTAATTTCATATTTTGGCAAGTGCGAATGGCTGTTACGCTAGGAATAGTCGGTAATTTCATATTTTGGCAAGTGCGAATGGCTGTCACGCTAGGAATAGTCGGTAATTTCATATTTTGACAAGTGCGAATGGCTGTCACGCTTTCGGTAATTTCATATTTTGGCAAGTGCGAATGGCTGTCACGCTAGCGGTAATTTCATATTTTGGCAAGTGGAATGGCTGTCACGCTAGGAATAGTCGGTAATTTCATATTTTGGCAAGTGCGAATGGCTGTCACGCTAGGAATCGGTAATTTCATGTTTTGGCAAATGCGAATGGCTGTCACGCTAGGAATAGTCGGTAATTTCATGTTTTGGCAAATGCGAATGGCTGTCACGCTAGGAATAATCGGTAATTTCATGTTTTGGCAAATGACAATGGCTGTCACGCCGGGAATACTTGTCATTGTGATATAAAAATCATATTTATTCCCATCTCAATTTCTTTTTTTTTTTTTTATTTATCGAAGTTAAATTACACCGGATTCTGATTTTTACGATTCATCACAAAAAAAAAAATATATGATAATATCTTATAATTTTGAATATCCATTTCTTCCTCGTCGTGTCTTTTCCTGCGGAAACAGAAGAAAAGCAAAATTTCGCCACAAGTTAAATCGAAGAATCTTTTATACCATCAACTCCATTTCCCAATCGCTTATTCGTCTTCAAAGGCAGAGAGCCACGTGGGTGAGGATGTTTTCTACTCGGGAGAGAAGAGAACCAGTCGAATAGCGAACGTCCTGACCTTATCTGGAGACTGGACAAACGGGATTGCCCAGTGCGTGCCGGCCATTAATCGGTCTCTCTCTCTCTCTGAATCTCATTTCGATGCCTTCTTCCCGCCCGTAATTACTTTGCCTGTGAACGAGTCGCTTGAGAATTGGGAGCGGTTCATCATCAGCATTGCCAGCCGCTTTTTAGTAGACGCGGAAGAATTGTGGCTGTCATCGCTGCATGCTTACTAATTACAGTAACTGAAATAAAAACAAGTAATATAAATAGAAATTATTTTTAAAGTCAATTGCTGGTTTTTTTTTCACTATATTTCAGAAAAGTCCTTTATAAATAATTTTCATTCATTTTTTTAAAGTTTATCTGGCAGATATATGGGTAGATATATGCAACTTAAATACAGCCAGTCGAGATATATGCAACTTAAATCAACAAACTATTATTGTAGATATGGAACTTAAATCTAAAAAAAAACTAAAATTAATTAATTTAATTACTGAATTAATATTTGAAAAAAACTGTATTAACATCTAGTGTCATCCACTACAAGTTCAAAAAAAAAATGTATTTGTACTGGAGTGGATGAATAAAGAGTATTTTATGAACGATTAAAAATTTGAAGGAAGATATATAGGAAGAGTGTGAGCTAATAGAAAGAATTGAAAAAAAATAAGTGAATGTAAATTCCTTTTATCAGTAAATCTAAAACTAGAGCAACTAAATTTAGAACATAATCAAAAGAGAAATCCAACAGTTATAATTGCGATTAGTTAACTTTTTTTTTAATCAATTCCAATTTTTTTCACTATATTGCAGAAAGTTCTTTATAAATAATTTTCATTCATTTTTTTTAAAGTTGATATGGTGCCATCTGTTGGTAGATATATGCAGCTTAAATCTATAAAAAAAAAAACTAAAATTAATTAATTAAAGTTAATTATTGAATTAATATTTGAAAAAACTGCATTAACATCCAGTGTCATCCACTACAAGTTAAAAAAAAAGTATTTGAACTTGAGTGGATGAATAAAACGTGTTTTATGAACTATTGAAAATTTGAACAAGATATATATAGGGAGAGTGTGAGCTAATAGAAGGAATTGAATAAGATTATAAGTAGTACAGATGTGTAGTTTGTGAATGAAATACAGAGGGATCGATTAGCATTCGTGAAAAATATTGTTAAAAATGCTCAAAAGACAGGAGCATGCATTTTTGTAATTTTTAAAATGGGCCTGAAAGGCCGAGTGTCTAGCGCAGGATTAGCCAACCCGCATGATCTTGCGGGCCGCTTTGAAAATGCATCATAACTCCTCGGGCCGCATATAAAATTATATATCCCCATATTAGATTTAAACCCACTGCAGACATTTTTTGGAGTGAAAAATGGAAACATAATGAGTTATTACTGTTATTCTTACATGTAAACATGTTGTTGTTTCTTATCCCACTTGGCTGGCCAAGCCCACGAGCCCATATGGACTCATGATTGAAGGGGAAGGAAGCAGCTTCTGTTGTGATGGAGCACTCGTAGGTAGAAGCCTGACTTTTGCTCCGTGACGCTCTTACAGTCATAGAAGACCGGGACCTACGGCTTTGGATTCGAACCACTACAAACATCCATGGCATCGCCGGGCGAACCCGAAACCTGTGGCACCGAGCGCCAGAGCGCTAGACACTCGGCCAGTCAGGGTCCCAAATTTGCCAATGTTCCCCGGTCAACCCAAGTACTGACCGCGCCCAATGATGCTTGACTTCGGTGATCTAACGAGAACCGGTATATTCAGCATGGTACGGCCGTTGGCACATGTAAACATAGATAATATAATAATAATAATGATACTAAACAGGCATTGTAAAGAAATATATAATATTAAAAATGAAATATGAAAATATATAAATATAAATGAAATAAAAAAAACGAAATCATTAAAAAAAATATTCATTTTACTGGCGCGATATGCGTTTCTCCACTCTTTCACTTAGCCTTTGCAAATCGATCTCAATTTGGGTATTTGCACATCGTAATATGTGTTGTAGGTTAGCGTCCGTTACGTTTGAGCGTGTTTTGTGTTGGGCTAATTTCATTTTCGAGAGGGGGAACGATTTAACACAAATTGGTAACAACTTTTTGTGCTAGATTAATCAAATTGGAAAATTTCCAAATTGGGACGTAAGTGTTATAAAAATCTATTTTTGATTTTGATGTTTCAAAAATGTGTTTTAATTCAATATTTTCTTTTGCATATTTGATTCAATTTTGAATATATGGATGCACAAATAATGTATTTTTTTAATACATTGGTTTTCACTACTTTGGCCATTATAAAATAAATATATTTTGTAAAAGTGTGATAAATCTCACGGGCCGCAAAAATATGCAAGGCGGCTGCGGTTTGGCCACCCCTGGTCTAACGCTCGGTGCCACAGGTTTCGGGTACGAGTCCCGGCGGTGCCATGGATGTTTGTAGTGATTCGGAATCCACTGTAAGTCGTAGGTCCCGGTCTCATATGGCTGTAAAAGCGTCACGGAGCCAAGTCAGACTTCTGCCTACGGGTGCTCCATCACAACAGAAGATGATCCCTCCCTTTCCCTCGATCCATGAATAGGCGACCTGATGGCCAATTGTTTAGCTCTCTGGCCTTTTGTACCACAGGCTTCAGGTTCGAATCCTGGCAGTGGCATGAATATTTGTGAGTGGTTCGGAATCCACGTTAAACTATAGGTCCCGGTCTAATTAGACTAAAGTGTGCACAAAATGACCGTAAAGCGACAGACAAAACCGAAATTGAAACCAAACTGTAAATTGATGCATATGTAGATGGCGAGAGATTTTTTTAAAGCAAGCATTAAATAGTGCATTAGTCATTACTGCAGTCTTTCGAACAGTCATTAATTTGACATACCGAGAACTTTTCTGCAAAAGTAAATAGGGAATGTACTGCATAAGACACAGGTATAAAAAAAAAAAAATTAATTTTTTTGTAATTATTAATAGTGATTATAAAACAAGTAATATAAAAAAAATTTAAAGTCAATTCCTACTTTTTATTTACTATATTGCAGAAAAGTCCTTTACAAATAAAGTTGAAATTTTCCTCTAACATCTGGCGCCATCTATGGGTAGATACATGCAACTTAAATATAAAAAAAACTAAAATTAATTAATTAAATTTAATTACTGAATTAATATTTGAAAAGACTGTATTAACATCAAGCGTCATCCACTACTAGTTCAAAAAACTGTATATGAACTTGAGTGGATGAATAAAAAGTATTTTATGAACGATTGAAAAGTTGAACAAGATATATATAGGGAGAGTGTGAGCTAATAGTAGGAAGTGAAAAAATATTTCTGTGATTTGGAATTAAAAATGCTAATTGAAAACAATAGCAGTACATACTCACTTATCCAAGCCATTGTATGAATAAATATTAACTCATTATGGTAATTCACTATATATATCATGTTTATTTCAAGAAATCGGATATATATTTTTTAAACTGTTATAAATGCTATGTGTTGATGCCAAGCAGTTATTGTAACTTATTTACTTAATAAACAGCTGAGGAAAAAAAAAAATCTTCTTTACAAGTATGTGAAATTATTTTACTTTATGAATTATTTTATATTACTTCCTTTGAACTTAGCAATGAAAAAGTTTTTAGACTTTAGTAAAGAGATTAATATGTTTCGGTCTTTGCTCAATGAGAAAAATAAACAAACGTTATAATTTTTTGTTTCAATACTATCTGATTTATTACAAATTAAGAAATTATACCGATTTAAATGAAAATTTTTATTTATGACTTGTACAATCCGTTGTTATTATCTACAATTAAAATCCAGTTAAATCTAATAAATAAATGTATCCCAGCATATTATATGAACTTACTACAATTGAATATTTTTTTGTAAGTAACAAAATCTCATCCGCACAAATTTTGATCTGACATCCAACTAAAAATTTCTTCAAACAGAAACAACTAACTTAAATAAATACTTGAATTTTGATGACACATAAAAATTCCTAAACAAAATTCAGTCATTAGTTTAAGTAATGTAATCGTTATGTGTAAACATAATGATTCGATCGTTTTTGCAAAGGTCAATGCTGTGTTATGTGATTGTAGAAGAATGTAGTAATTTTCATTTTTCAGTCTTACATTAATGTCTTCTATTGGATTTGTTAGAATTTACTAATGATTCTTCCTTTAGTATTTTCGTCTCTTGGAAAGTAGAATTATTTTAAGAGAGTGACAAACCTAAAATATACATCAGCCATGTAGGAAATTTAGTTCAATTCAGAGTTAACTTCCTGATATTCTGATTCCTGATTTCTAAAAATGTGTAATTTCTAGAGGAAGTAGAAGCATTAAGCTTTCTATTTCAAATTGGATTTTCTTGCAAGTCTAAATTTAATTATGAATATTACGTTATATTGAATATTGATATTACATTCTTAACTAATGCATTCCATAAAAATATTAAGTGTTGTTTGCTTAATATAAAAATTCATTAATCATTCATTTTTATACGCTGCCATAAAGATAATTTCTTTTTAGCGTTTGAATTTATCTCTAGTATGTTCCGGTATAAGGATTTTAAAGGGAAAAATGGGGGAATTCGAAAGGGGATTAAGGGGAAAAAAAGATGGGACATAAGAACAAAGATGGACAAAACGATCGAATTTCTTTTATAGATTAACTTTTATGATGCCGTTCTAATTAAGAACGCCAACGCTGTTAAACTGAATATTATCGGACACAGTATCGTATTCTTTTCCAGTAACTGTATTGCAAAAAGTCCTTTATAAAGAATTTTCATTCATTTTTTTTAAGTTTATCTGGCGCCATCTATTGGTAGATATGCAACTTAAATCTAAACAAAACTGAAATTAATTAATTAAATTTAATTACTGAATTAATATTTGAAAAAACTGTAATTACATCAAGTGTCATCTACTACAAGTTAAAAAAAATGTATTTGAACTTGAGTGGATGAATAAAAATATTTTATTAAAGATTGGAAATTTGAACAAGATATATATAGGGAGAGTATAAGCTGATAGAAGAAATTGAAAAGTATATTTGTATATCTTTAGTGAGTGATAATGATTTTTCTCGGTTTAATTTCAAAAAGAGCAATTGTTTAAACATGCTTTTTTAAGTGTTGATATTTGCGATCCAAACATCATTATTGATCACAGTTTTACTACTTCAAAACTAGTTGGATATACTAGATTATGTTTCTAAAATTCTGATGATTTGCATTCCAATCAAGGTTTTATACTCAATTTAAAATAATAAATGAAATTTCTATGTTATGTACAACTGTGCCCAAAAAGTAAAACCAATTTTCAATTTAAAATTCCCGGCATATGGAATTTAATTTTTTCTTTTTTAAGTTGTTGCCACTGTCCTTGAAATCTGTGTGAAATTTCACGTCCAAGTATTCATTAGTGTTTGAGTTACGCTTGGCTTTGTGAGACTAAAAGTGATTTCGGCGATTTTTCTTCGATTACCGTGGTGTGGTGCATTATGAATTCCTTCCGCCGGGCCAAACTGTCAACAAGGAATATTATTTGAGTATTATGCCTCGTTTGCGTAAGCTATTCGCAAAAAGAGGGCACATTTATGGAAAGACAACTCTTGAATTTTGCATCACGATAATGCGCCAGCTCACACTGCATTGATTCTTCGTGACTTTTTCGCCAAAAATGAAACCCATATAGTTCCACAACCACCGTATTTATCTGATTTAGCACCGTTCGACTTCTGGCTATTCCCTAAACTCAAAGGACCACTCCAGGGATAACGTTTTAATCTCACAGGCGGAAAAAATGTTCAAGGTGGGCCGCGGGTGGCCACCCTTCGTCTAGATCAGGGATGGGCGAACTTTTTCAGTCGCGGGCCAAAAATCGAAAAAAAAAAAAAAAAAAAGTTTGGCGGGCCGAGATAAATTTTTCTAAAATTTTAAAAACAATATACAAATATTACAATTTAAACAGGTTAATGAGATGAAGGAAATTGCGATTTCATTTTTAAAAGTTCCTTATAGTGAGGTTCGAAGTGTGATGTACTGATTCTAAGGAACAAGGCTCATCTGTCAGTCTACTTCTGAATTAATTATTTCTAAGGTTCATAGTTGAAAACACTTGTTCACACGAAGCAAACATAGCACTAATTTTCTGGCCGTGAAATATTAAATTTGGGAAACTGACATAATAATGATCGATATCGATAATGATTTGTAAAACTCTAACTTAGGCATATTTAGAAACAACTGCTTGAGATGATTGTCAGATTAATTCAACCCGCAAATCTGACCTCACTGCTTCACAATTTACGTTGAAAGGCATGGTGAAAATATCCAATTCTGTTTGAATGACACTGAAATCTGTGTTCGAACTCAAAATACAGTTTTTTCAAGTCATCTTCATAATTATTAAGCTTCTCTTCATTTACTGAGGGTATTGAATTTAACCTCGGGAAATGAGACAAGTCGTTCTTAGCTAGCTGCCCAGCAAACAGATTAAGTTTTAGTTTAAAAGTCGATTTATGTTTTGTAGAACAAAAATAGAGAAAGTAAAAAGATCAATCCGCCCTTTGGACAAAAGGAAGAAAAAAAACAAACATTTAATCAAAGTAGAAAAGGAGATAGATATATAATATATAAATATATATTTCTTTTAATTTGCCTCGGACCGGCAAATTAAAATTCTTTAGAGGATTCCAAATAGAATCATCCGGCGGGCCGTAGTTTGCCTACCTCTATTCTAGATGTTGCTGCAACAATAT